CCATTTTGTGTACCATAGCACCTTAAAGTCTAACAAAATTTGTGGCAGGGAAGGAGCTTTTGTGAGTCACTGCTCACTTAGAATCATAGAACGTTAGAGCTGGAAGGGACCTTGCAGGTCATCTAGTCCAAACCCCTGCATTCTGCAGCAGCATATCTTCATATCTGAAGACTCACGAAAGCTCCCATCCTGCCACAAATTTTGTTAGTTTGGTGTCGTGGTTAAGATCGGTGGACTCTAATCTGGGAGAACTGGGTAATAATAATAATAATAATAATAATAATAATAATAATAATAAGAAGAAGAAGAAGAAGAACGCCCTTCACTTGGAGTCTCAGAGGGGCTTACAAACTCCTTTCCCTTCCCCTCTTCACAACAGACACCCTGTGAGGTGGGTGGGGCTGAGAGAGCTCTGACAGAAACTGCTCTTTCAGGGACAGCTGTGCCAGAGCTTGTGACTGACCCAAGGTCAAATCAGCAGGTGCAAGTGGAGGAGTGGGGAATCAAACCCGGTTCTCCCAGATTAGAGTCCGCAGACTTAACCACTACACCAAACTGAAGAAGAGATTGGATTTATTCCCCGCCCTTCACTACCCGAAGGAGTCTCAGAGCGGCGTACAAACTCCTTCCCCTTCCCCTCCCCACAACAGACACCCGGTGAGGTGGGTGGGGCTGAGAGAGCTCTTGACAGAAACGGCTCTTTTTCAAGGACAGCTCTTGTTAGAACTACGGCTTGCCCAAGGTCATCCAGCCAGGTGCAAGTGGAGGAGTGGGGAATCAAACCCGGTTCTCCCAGATTAGAGTCCACTTAACAGCTACACCAAATTGGCTCTCTTGGTTCCCCACACCTCCACAGGCAGCTGCTGGTGAGACCTTGGGTCAGTCAAATTTTTCTGAGAGCTCTCTCAGCCCGACCTACCTCACAGGGTGTCTGTTGTGGGGAGGGGAATGGTGGGGTATAAATCCAGGCTCCTCCTCCTCCTCTTCCTCCTCCTCCTGCTGCAGACAGACTCACACGGCCACCCATCTTGATTTTGCGTCCTGTCTGTCTGGCTCTGCCCCTGGTCCTTCAGAGCTTTGGACTGATCTTGCTGGCACAGGAGAGATGTGCCTTTCCTAGTGTTGCCACCTCCAGGTCGGGGAATTCCTGGATATTTGGGGGTAGAGCCTGGGGAGGGTGGGGTTTGGGGAAGAGAAAGGAAGGGGCTTCTCAGTGGGGTGTCACGAGATACAGCCCCCCCTCCAAAGGTGCCGTTTTCTCCATTTGCAAATGATCTCTGTAGTCTGGAGGTCAGCTGGGATTCTGGGAGATCTCCAGGCCTGGAGGTTGGCAGCCCCGGCCTCTCCATCTGTCACTTGCCCAAGGTGAGGGAATGGAGCCACGAGGGCGCACGTGCCAAACCGCGCTGGCCGCCTTGCGGGAAATGGTGAGCACGGCTGCCGCCGCTCGAAGGATGTTCTTTCAAGCCTGTTTATTTCTTTTCCGAGCTCCCTGAAGGAGCTGTTTCGGTCCCCCTGCCCACCCCCCCAGCCTCTCCTTCACAGTGTGCTTGCTTAGAGAATGTCAGAGATATTCTCGAGGCCGTAAATATGGCACGGCTTCTGTGTGTGCCATACGTGACCTGGGGCGAGTCCCGGGACTTGCGTTTCCCAGAGGTGAGGCTCCCTCCAAGAAAAATTCAATTAAACGGTGGGGAAATGTCAGTGCAGGACTTTTCCAAACTGGTGGTTTGTGCAGGCCCGGAACGGAGCCTCCCCGGTCTTTTCCCCTCCCTCCCCTCCCGAATCAAGTAACAGCAGCTCGTGGCTGAAGACGGGAAGGGGAAGGAGGGTGCCTAGAAGCAGAAGCCTTACTTAGGCCCCGGTCACACAGGCCAGATAACGTGGGGGGGGGGGAGGTGTGGCTGTTTGCCCCGGAGCAAAATAAAGCGCGGTAGCCCAATCACACGGTCCCCCGAGTCTCCGTGCTTCAACTGTTAGCTGGCGATCACACGGTGATGCTGCAGTGTGGCAAAGAAGCGGCGCGGTGCAATCACACAAGTGTTTCACGTTTGTGCGCATGCGCAGTTCCGCGGAGCAGCACTGCTTTCAGTTTCGTGTTTGTG